AGAAAACATTTCCATCAACACAGAAAGTTCTATTTATTGGACAGTGCTGATTTACATAAACTGGCTACACACTAACTCACAATCCACAGCCTTCACATACACAGAGCTACACAAACAGACCAGCCCTTCCACACCCCCCTATGCAGCACTCAATACACATTTAATTTCATACATTCACTGGACATGCAACACCCACCCACCAACACAGCCACACAGGACTCTCAGTGTGTATACACACTTCCTGTCAAGATATGCCACTGTGCATTCCAAGGTATTTAAATGTAAATATAAACACACAAACACACGCATCATCTCACTGATTCACATACAACTGTTCATATGATAAAAATACAAATTAGGGTGAAATGCATTTGCAAATATGCCGAAATAGATACAAACCCAAACCATGTGGTTCCCAGAACAATTCTTAGCACATGTTTGCAAACTCAGTTGTGGGGGAAGGGATCCCACATTTGTTGAGGCACTGCCAACGTGCCAGGCATGGAGTTGGCCATTTCAAGTGAGCTGGGACTTGAACAATGAGTGGGGTGGAGAGGGATTGGTATTGGTTGAGAGATTAATTGAGAGACAAGATAGGGCAGGGAGGCAGATTCTAGAGCATTGCAGGGCTTGGGGATTTTATTTGTCATTCTCCAGTGACTGGGGAGGAATTGAAGAATTTTTACAGTGGAGAAATAGGATCCCATTTACATGTTAGAAACAATGAACAGAAGGAAGGAGAGCTTGGACTAGGGAGACCATGCAGAGGGCTACTGCAGTAGTCCAGGTGGGAGCTGGTAAGGCCTAACATAGGAGCACAAGGCATCTGGAGAAGATGAGGGATGGGAGGGTGAGGGTGTAGCCTGCTCTTGAGATAGAGAAAAGCAATAACCTCCTGACCCATGAAAATAAGATGAAACCTATAGATTCTGCCTCAGAACAATGCACATGTGCACAGGCACATGATGATCTGCACATAATTATTGGCGACTTGTATTCCCTGAAGCCCCAGTTTAAGAACCCAGTTCCTTGGAATTCTAAAAAGCAAAACAGCATGGTAGTTAAGCCTGTGGTTGCTGAAGTCAGACTGCCCGGTTCATAATCTCGGCTCCACCGCCTATTAGCTACATGAGCTTGGGCAAGACATTGGCCCTAGGACGTGCCTGGTATGCAGAAAGTGCTCAGAAAGTACTGGCTGTTATTAGTATGAGTTAAATCAGAGTGCCTTGAGATCCCCCTCACTATACTCACTCTCTTTTGTACCCCACTTCACAGCTGGGGATCTGGTGTCTTCTGGTGGGGGTCCTCCTGCCCAAGCCCCAGGACTCACTTTTCCCATTCCCCCAAAGCAACCCCTTCCCTTTTGTTCCGAGTCTCCATTATTCTTAAACCTGGTTATTAAAGAGTTAAGCCTACTAACACCTTTTTAAGATGAGGAAGAAGAGGACCTAGGCCCCATCACTGCAGAGACACAGTCATTTCTTTTTCCTTGAGATGACAGTACTGGGAAGAAGACATTTGATTCGGGAGAGCACTTCAGCACAGGGGTCCTTCCCAACTCTAAAATCACAGACAACCTCCTCACCACATCCTCTCTCAAATGTTCCAGCTCAGAGCTGGGGACCAGACCCCCCTCCCACAACCAGGCACACCACCAGCAATAAGGAGCATGCCAAAAACATCACCTCCATGTGGGTAGCCCACCACAGCCACCACAATAACCACAGCTGCCGTGAAAGTGGCTAGATGTCACAGCCACCATGCAGATGGTCCACTAGCCACCGGAGTGCACTGACACAAGGAGAGTCACCAGCAGAGACCAAAGAAAAGAAGAGGATGTCTCTCTCCACAAAGCCCATGCCAGAGTGACAGAAGAAGCATCTGCTCTACAATAATATTGGAGGACCTGAACACACCTCTCAGCATTGGACAGATCATCTAGGCAACAAATCAACAGAATAACCATTACTCTTTCAGAGGGAGAGAAGAAATCTAGGGTAATTAGAGGGGGGAGGGTAAAAGGAGGGGTGGGGAGAGATTGGACAAGGGGCATAAAGAATAAGTACAATTTGTAACAATATGTATAGTATTAATATTGATTTGATCAACATATGTCAACATTGAACCCCCCAAATATGTATAATCAATTATGATTCAATAAAAATTTTTAAAAATTAATTTAAAAAGAATAAAATGTTCCAGCTCCACATTTTTCATTTGCTCCAGCCATCCCTCTTCCATCCAGGTTCTAACAGGAGGTGGGGGCAGCAGGTGGGAAAAGCAGATGCCAAGTTCATTTAACTTAGGAAAGTGGTGGAGGAGAAAGCATGGGATTTCTAAGCAGATGATCCACCAAGTAACTATGTCACCCTGAGGGAGTCCCTTCTCCCTGTGGACCTCAGTTTCCTATTCTATAAAGTAATTCCTCTCCCTCATCCTTCATGGGATCTTTGTGAGGACAAAATGAACAAATGGTTAAATTGGAAGTTGCAGACTATAGTGTGAGTACATGTAGTTATTCCTCGTGGCCTTTTGGCCTCTGTGATCTCCCTTCAGCTGGAGCTGACAGAGCCCACATCCCTGGGGAGCCCTCTAACTGGATCTCCAGGACTATCCACATCTGGACAGGATGAGCTGTGCCCAGAATTCCTCTGAGGAGAGGAGGCCTGTCCATAGGAGGGTTGGGGTTTTGTCTCCGAAGCACAGAGATCTTGAGGGAATCCCTAACTTGGATGAGAGTTGGTCATCTGGGTTCCCTCTCCCCTGTCCACTCTGCCCTCCATTCTGACATACAACACATAAACTGGTCCACGTGCAGCTCTGATGGAAGCCACAAGCTTTCCAGAGATAAAGCCAGGCCAGGCCACTCTGTGGAAGATTCGGGACTGGCTCAGCTCAAATTGTTAAGAACTGAGTCAGCCGCTTTCCTTTCCTCCTGCTTACTGAGTCTTCAAAGCTACATGGCTCTAGCTGCTGCTCTGAGTAGCTCTCTACCAAGGTAGGACTGAGGGTCATTAACCACAGTAGGCTTTAGTGATGAGAGCTGGACTTTGTCTCCCTGACTTGTTATGAACTTGAGGGCACAAGCAGTCTTATTCATTTCTCCACCCCCAGTGTGATCACAGTAGTCACTGTGTCATTCATTCAATAACTCTATTGAGCACTGTGCTAGGCGCTGAGGATGCAAAATTGAACAAGTCAGACAAGGTCCCTGCCCTCTAGTGAGGAAGACACGAAATGAAGATGTAAACCATGATAAGATAAACTATGAAAAGTGCTGAGAAAGGAATGAGTGTGCTGATGGGGGAAGGGATGTTACTTATGCGATAAGGTGACAGGGAAGATCTGAGATCTAAGCTAAAACATGAAGGATAAATAGAGCCAGTCCAAAACATCAATGCCTGTCAATGTACGTTGCAAGAATGGATAGAAGGATGGATGGATAGATGGATGGACAGATAAACCGACTGGGGGGATTCTGGTGTGAATGAAGTCACGCTCCAGTACCCAGTCCCTAGTGTGCTCAACACAAGAGAAAAGGAGGAGCGGGATTGGGAGCCGTGGGCCCCAAACTCCCCAACCTTGCTCTCAGCTGAACGTGTGTTGACCCAGTCAACTGGGTCCGAGGGGCCGCTAGGGAGCGACCGAGAAGCCATCCAATTCCCCTTTAAGGCCCGGGCGGAAGACTGGAAGGTGAAGGGCTTTTGTGTCGGCGGGATAGAAACAGGCCTGCCCCTTTAAGAGGGCGGAGACGCTGGTATGGCGGCTGCTTCGAAAGCGGTCTGGGACGCAGGCCCGCAGCCTTCTGACGGCCTTCCCTCGGCCCTCGCCAGGGTTTCCTCCCTCTGACCGCACCCCAGGAGCACCATCGCACTTCCACCCAGGCCGAGTGTGAGGCCCCGGCGACCCCCCGAGTCGGGGTCCGCAGGGCCAGCCCACCGGCCCGCAGTCGCCATGGTAATACCGCGCTCACGCCCGGGGCTGCCTGGCCGCCGGGTCCCACAGCCGCGGGTACCACCCCCTGGGTTCCAGCCCCTCATCCGCACAAGCTGCAGGGCTGGGGTCTGGATGGGAGTTTAGCGGAGTCTGGAGGCCTGGGCTCTAGTCAGGGCTTGGCAGGGACGCGCGGAGACGCTGGGAAAGCACTCCCCCACCCCGCTACGGGCCTCAGTTTCCCTCCTGTTGCTTTCCTTCTCTCCATGGAGAACTCTGGTCATCTTTCCTAGTGCGCTCAAACGTCACTACCTCTTGGGTCCATCCCACCCCCTCCCCTCCCTCACCCCAAACATTCTGACGCGTACACTTTTTTTTTTTTGGAGGCTGGCGGGTACTGGAATCTGAACCCTTGACCTCTTACCTTTAGACTCCTGGGGAAGGTATCTCTAACTGTAGCTCTTGCTGCTCTGGCATCTGGGGTTAGGCACAACCCTTGGCTCTGGGTTTGACACTCATCTGGAGCTGGCAACAGCAGCCCTGCTGGCTAGAAAGAGGGAGCTGTGGACCATAACTTTTGGGTGCTGATTAGGTAGAAGGAAATCACTGGCTTGATTTTCAGAAACAAGGCCACTGTGCTGGGCATTCTTGGATTTATGGTAGTTTCTCTTACCTTTGACAAAGGTTCCTCAGGCAAAACCTTTGAGACGTTGCAAAATCCTTAGGCCCGTGTGCATGGTCCTGATTCTGAAGAACTCCTTGCTCCCCTTGGCAGCCTTCCCTTTGCTCCTTCCCCCTCTTCCAGGGTTAATACAGATAGATCTGAGTGGATTGTTTTACAAGAAAGTATTTTAAATAATTTACATCTTTAACTAAATCCCATTTCTTTTCTCCTCATCCCTTATTCCTCCCCCAGCACTAGCAAAAAACAGTACACCTAATGGTCCTGTTAGCATTGGGAAGAAGCATAGTGAGGACAGAATGTACTTGCAAATGGTATTTCTCCTCCAACCTCAACTGCTTTGTTTTCCTTTTAGGCATGCAGTTTGCAGAAGTTGTTTGCTGTGGAAGAGGAGTTTGAAGATGAGGTAAGGAAGTGTTGGTGATCAGAGGTGGCAGAGGAGGTCACAAGATATAAGCACTCAGATCCAGAATATTTTGGAGCAGCTTGCACCAACCTCCTTTTTTGTGTGTGTGTGTGTGACCGGTAAGGGGATCGCAACCCTTGGCTTGGTGTCGCCCGCACCACACTCAGCCAGTGAGCGCACCGGCCATCCCTATATAAGATCTGTACCCATGGAGGAAGCGCCGCCACGCTCCCAAGCGCTGCACTCTCCCGAGTGCGCCACGGGGCCGGCACCAACCTCCTTTTATTAAAAAAAAAAAGAAGACCAGTAAGGTGATCTTAACCCTTGACTTGGTGTTGTCAGCACCATGCTCACCCAGTGAGCTAACCAGCCATCCCGATATAGGGATCTGAACCAGTGGCCTTGGTGTTATCAGCACCACACTCTCCCAAGTGAGCCATGGGCCAGCCCTGCACCAACCTCCTTTTAGTTGACATGTACTGTATGTATATTTTTTTGTCTGTGAGAAGCTGAGAAATGATGAGAAATGTAAACAACCTACTTAACTGTCTTAGAAACAAATAACCAGAGAAAAGAGTTGCCTAATTGTCCTACCTTTAAATTATAAGGGCCCTTTCCTGGAAGCTGTGTCATGTAGATGATTTAATTCACCTCATGATGACATACTTGAGGTGGGAACAGAGTTTATGAAGATCCAGAGTACTGCAGGAGACAGCACGGTTACTAGATGACAGGAGGCCTGTGGTCACCAAGTGGCTATGTGAACCAGGGCAAATTACTTTATTCTCTGGCCTACTGCTTTCTCTTCTACAATATGGGAGACGTTCTTCTGCCTCAAATGCTCTTCCCTTCCCTCTCTCCCCTCAGAAGATGAAGGGTTAGACTAGATCTTATGTCAGCACTCTAGAATCACCCTTGTCTAGGCCCTACCACACACCAATTAAACCTAAATCAGAATTTCTGGAACTGACTCAGACAGGGGTATTTCTAATGAGAAGCCAGAGAACACTGAACTAGTCTCCACAGCTCTCTTCCCATTCATGACCAATGGATATATATAAGGGTACTTCAAAAAGTTCATGGAAAGGGCCGAGTAATCAATCCAGTGTGGTGGCAGGGGGTGGAGGTGGAGGGGACCTTGCTGGCGGTGAAATCAGTAGCTCTGACTCAAAAACACCCTCAGAACAGGTCTGTTGCTCGGCACTGGGAGCGCAGCAGCGCTCCCGCCGCAGGTTCGGATCCTATATAGGGATGGCCGGGGCACTCACTGGCTGAGCATGGTGTAGCCGGTCTCAAAAATCTTCAAGGTGTCAATCTCACCTTGCTTCCCAACTGGAATCTATACTTAATTTAACTTGCCTGAAAAGCTATATTTAACTTCTGCCTATTTTGCTGGATCTGAGGCCCCTCTGGCTGGTTAAAAGCTGTGTGTGTGTGTGTGTGTCTGTGCGTGTGTCTCTGTGTGTGTGTGTGTGTGCGTGTGTTGGGTGTGGGGAGTGGGGTAGGGACAGGCATCATGACCTGCTACACTGCCTATTTTGCTGGATCTGAGGCCCCTCTGGCTGGTTAAAAGCTGTGTGTGTGTGTGTGTCTGTGCGTGTTTCTCTGTGTGTGTGTGTGTGTGCGTGTGTTGGGTGTGGGGAGTGGGGTAGGGACAGGCATCATGACCTGCTACGTTGCATAGGCTGGACACCAGAAAGCTAGAGAAAGCTAGTTTCCCTGAGATGAGTTTGTGACCTTGGGTGATTTATTTATCTCCTTGGAGCCCTGGTAGGTTTGCTTCTCCTTCTGTCCCTCCCAACTTTCCCCCACCCCAACCCCAGAGGTTAAAGAAAGAGAAGCTACCTGAAGACTTAGCCTTAGGGTGTTTCTGATAGAAGCCTGGTGTGGGTTCATGGGCACGGTCAAATTTGGTGAGAGACACCACCATTGCCTTTCGTGCCTTGGTTTCTTGCTTGTGTGTATCTGCACTCACACATACACCACATGCCTGACGATAAAAGCAGAGTGTTTCTTGATTTCCAGATGTCAAGACCCACTGTCTCTGCTTCTTTGTAGGATTTCTTGTCTGCTGTGGAGGATGCAGAGAACCAGTTTGCTGGCTCGCTGCCTGTCGGTGTTGCCTGCCTGAGACCTGTCTCTTCCAGGCCACAGGAGATTGTGCAGGCACAGCCTTCCAGGCTGCCACCATTGCAGCCCACTGCACCTTCAGAGGCTTTGGGCCTGTCCGCTGTGGGACTCCGCCTCCCTACCTCCAGCATGCCCAAGGCCGTCAGGGGTCCACCTTCCACAGGAATAGCCCCATTAAGGCCTGTCTCAACTTCCGGCATCTGGACTGGCAATCAGAGAGGAGTGACACTGACAGAAGTGCTCAGAGAGCCTGCAAGACCCCAGCCCTCTACCCCACACCCCCTCCTCACATTTGAGAGCCAACAGCAAGGGGTTGGTGGCTTTGATGAGCCTGAACAAGACGAATTTGATGAGGTCCTGGCAAGCATGGAGCTGGAGGGGCCTGGCATGGAGACGGAACTTGGAGTCAGCAGTGAGGCCCCTCGAATCTCTACTGCTCAGCAGCAGGAAGACCCAGTATTGACTAAAAAGGCCTGGGTGGTTGATCTGAGTGGATCTTGCCAGAAAGGGCCCATTCCTGTCACCCATATAACGGGTATCATGTCAGCCCAGGATGAGCCTTTAGATCCTGTTGTCCACTGTAGGACTCCATGGCCCCACTTGAAACCTGGTGCCACGGGTAACCTTCCCTTTCCAACTGCCTCAGCAGTTCCCACTCAGCAACCCCATAGGGAAGTCTGTCCCAAAGACCCTCCTCTTCGAGCACCCCAGCCTCTCCAAGCTGCTGGAGGGCCCATTCAGAGCAGCCCTCAGAATTGTTTCCCTAGTCAGCCATTTCAGTCTCCAAATGCCTGGTTAAGTGGCAAAGCTCATTTTCCTGGACCTCGAACTTCCAGTTCAGTCTGCTCTACTCGCTCAAGGACTAGCTCTGGATCATTTCCACGGGAGCCCTTCCAGCCCCGAGCTCCAGTGTCTTCTGTTGAATCTCCTGTCAGCACCCCAAAAGGCCCCCATTCCTCCCTAGTTCCCCAGGCAGCTCTGCAGTCTCCCATTGTCACCAATCACCTGGTGCAGCTGGTCCATGCTGCCAACCGGACACCCCAGCAGCCCACCCGCCCTTCCACCCGAGTCCGAACACGCCGCTTCCCTGGCCCAGCAGGCATCCTCCCTCACCAGGTGAGTGACCTGGTTTTCTAAGACATTGGGATGCAAAGGAAAGAAGCAGAGGTCCAGAACTGTCCAGCCTTAGAATATCTTCCCTCCTGGAAGGAAGGGAAGGAGGAAGCAAGGAGAGGGAGGGTTTTCAAAGCTGCAGAAGTCGTCAAAAGAAATGGGAAGGAAGAATTGAGTGCTGGAAAATTCACATGGGAGAGAGGTGTTTAAGGCTCTGAGGACTTCATAACTTTCATAGGTTTATTGAGCACCTGCTGTTTGCTAGCACTAGGGCAGGAACGTTCATTCACTCATATTTACTTGGGTGTGTTGGGCAATTTGCTTGGAACCGAGAATGCAGAGATTAAAAGAGAAGTAGTTCCTGTCCTAAGGAGCCTACACTGTAGTGGAAGAAACAAATGATTATGCCCAGAGTGCTCAGTGTAAGGAGGTGTCATTCCCTGGCTGCTGGGAGATACTGGCTCTGCCTTGGGCTTGCTGAATGGGCTGTGGATGGATGAGGAGGAGGTTAACAGGTGTGGGGGGGTGGGGGTCTGTGTTCTGGGGACATTCCAGCAGTGGGAATACAGGGACGAGCATGTGCAGAGTTACAGAGGAGTAAGAGCAAGGTGTTCTCGAATATCCACAGAACGGTTCATTGTGGCTGATGTGTGGGGCCAAGGTGGGGAAGTTGGGGCTAAAAAGGAGACAGAGCCCTGCTGGATAGTGGATTTAAGCAGCGGTGGGGTACAGGATCCATCAAACTGTCTTGGATCTGATCCCAGATAATTGGGCTCTGAAGATCTGGTTTGATCATGAAAGGTGTGCCCCCTTCCTCTTATTTTAAGAGTGTTTGAAGCAATTTCTGCCTGTTTTCCCTAGCGCTTTAAGAGAAATCCAAAGAGGTCTTCTATGTTCCTCCTGCGCTGGATCTCCCTAGAGGGAAGGGTTAGGTTCCAGAGAAGGTACTGGGGGAAGCTGCCCCTTTGCTCATCACAGGCCTCTCTATTGGGGTCACTGCCCTCTTCAGGCATCCCTGGGTTTCGCTCCTGGGCCAGCTCCAGCTTCTTCACATTCCTGAAACGATCCCCAAAGTGTCTTTTTTGAGCTGCCAACAAGGCTCCTGAGACTTCGTTAGGAGAGATGTAATATGTGTTAATTGTCCTTGATAGTTTCCTGAACTCATTATGTAACCCAGACAAGAAGCTGTACTTGTAAATAACAGCTGCTGAGCTTGCTGTCACCTTCTCTCTCCCCTCTTAGCATAATGGGAAAAATCTGGAGAAGATCATGGTTTCCACCCCCCAGACTCCAACTCATGGTGCTCTGGCTAAGTTCCAGACAGAGGTAACTTATTCCATGCAAATGTTAACTTGCTGGGTGTCATTTGAGAGTGAAGGACATCTCTGCATATTTCAGGAGTTGAGAATCAGAGCTGATGCTGCTAGGCCTGTTCTCTGGTGTCATACACCAAAGGTCATTTGGGGGAGGCAGCAACTTTACTGGCATAATGGGAGGCCTATCCTGATGGCAGCCAGGAATTAACTGATGCCATAAGTCCAGGCTTCTTTCCCATCTAAGAAATAAAGGCCCAGCTAGCTTCATCTTCCCCAGGGGAGGAGGTTGTAATTAATAAGGAAAGTATAATAAAAATGGTATCTCAGGAACCCTTCCTCTCAGGTTTCTGGGAGCTGAGCTGGGAAGAACTTGTCTTCTTCTTACCTCCAGTGGGTCCCATTTTGGCAGCTGAGACTCAGTTTCCCTCCTCCCTGGGGTTCTGGTTGACCTGCAGTGCCCTCAGACCCACACTTTTTTTTTTTTTTTTCCTTTTTGTCTTTTTTCATGTCCGGCAACAGATCGCAACCCTCAGTGTCGCGCCCGGACCGGGACCGGCCACGGGATCGGCCACGGGATCGCAACCCTCGGTGTTGCTCCCGCGCCTCGCTCAGCCAGTGAGCGGCTGGTCTGTATGTGGGATCCGAACCCTCGGCGGGAGCGCCACCGCGCTTCCCAGGCGGCGCACTATAGCAGTGCGCCACCGGGCCGGCCCTACACTTTTGCTTTTAATTCTCCCCAGTGTTTTTTTCTCTTTGCTGCAGCTTGCTAGATATGCCAGTCCATTTCATTTCTTTTTTTTTTTTCTTTTTCTTTTTTTCTTTTTGCCAGTCCATTTCAGATCCTAAGCAATAAGTACTCATCTGATTCAAAGCATTTATTGATATAATATATAAGGTTAATGGTTAAAGCCAGAGGCATCCCAAATAAAATATGACTGGTTTCAAATTGGCTAAAACACTCCAAAAGCCTATATAGGTGGACATCCCTACCCCTGAGGCTTTTTGAGTCTATTACAAGAGACAAATATGGACAGCCTTTTGCTTCAATGTAATTAAATTTAGGACCCGATTTTTAAAATAAATAAATAAATAAAAAGAGCACCCTTGCTGTAATTGCTTAGTGAAATGCGTGGTATACAACAAGATTTAACATAACATTTTCTGGTATTAGAGATAAATAAGAGACTGTGGCCACCATGCTACAGTTTCTCCCAGGGGATTCGCCCTTCCTCTCCCATCCTTCTATCCTGTCTCATTCAAGGATCTGTAGCAAGATAGACCCAGTAATGCAGATTCCCCCCTCTGCTCTGTGGTGCCAGATTGTTGCTAGTTCCCAGATACCCGTGGAGGAAGATTTTGGGCGAGGGCCCTGGCTGACCATGAAATCTGCTCTGGGCCTGGATGAGAGAGACCCCAGCTGCTTCCTCTGCACCTACAGCATCGTCATGGTTTTGCGGAAGGTGAGGGTCCCGGGTGCTGAGACCGAAGGGAAGACCGTTTTTCTCCCTTTCACCAACGTACCGTCCTACTTCACCCTAGGAAGGGGCCGTTTGCTCCCGCTTACCCCAGGTCTATCTCTGAGCGGCAGCATGAAGCCCCTGTGGTGTATCTTCCACTCACCTACCTTTCACTCTCATCCACAGTACTCGGCACAGGTGGAAGGAGAGAGTGAGCTATGTGCATGGCTCTGCCCTTCCAGGCCCTGGTGGAGTGGGGTTAGCACACTGTTAGCATACTCAGAGCTCCCAGAGGTCAGGGACCACGTGCAGATACATGCTGGTACATGTGCCAAGATATCCTTGCCCATGGCTGGCCATGATGGAGCACTATAAATATATATATACACAAAAGAGAGGAGGCAGGGAGAGAGAAATGGAGGACCTGACAGCTTTAGGCCTGCCAGAGGGAGATGGGATGTGCCCTTCAAACTGACCCTTTGGGGCCGGCCCGTGGCTCACTCGGGAGAGTGCGGTGCTGATAACACCAAGGCCCCGGGTTCGGATCCCATATAGGGATGGCCGGTTCGCTCACTGGCTGAGCGTGGTGCTGACAACACCAAGCCAAGGGTTGAGATCCCCTTACCGGTCATCTTTAAAAAAAAAAAAAAACTGACCCTTTGGGGCCGGCCCGTGGCTCACTCGGGAGAGTGCGGTGCTGATAACACCAAGGCCCCGGGTTCGGATCCCATATAGGGATGGCCGGTTCGCTCACTGGCTGAGCGTGGTGCTGACAACACCAAGCCAAGGGTTGAGATCCCCTTACCGGTCATCTTTAAAAAAAAAAAAAAACTGACCCTTTGGGGCCGGCCCGTGGCTCACTCGGGAGAGTGCGGTGCTGATAACACCAAGGCCCCGGGTTCGGATCCCATATAGGGATGGCCGGTTCGCTCACTGGCTGAGCGTGGTGCTGACAACACCAAGCCAAGGGTTGAGATCCCCTTACCGGTCATCTTTAAAAAAAAAAAAAAAAAAAAACTGACCCTTTGTCCTCCACAAAGGAAGATATCACTACAGCAATACCATCCTCCCTTCCACTCTCTGGTTGCCCTGGCACACCTGGGGACCTGGGAAGTTATAGGTGGGCCATGGCTAGCTCAGTGAATGCCTTTCCTTGTAAGCAGGCAGCCCTGAAGCAGCTTCCCAGAAACAAGGTCCCAAACATGGCGGTGATGATCAAGTCCCTGAATAAGAGCACAATGGATGCCAGTGTGGTTTTCAAGGACCCCACAGGTAAGGAGTTAGGTCCTGGGAGTGTCTGATGAGAGGCCTCCTTTGAGGTCAGGAGATGAAGAGAAATCACCCTCTCCATTTGCAGATTGGAAAGTTGAGGCTGTGAGTAGTCCAATTCCTAGCCAGGGCCCAAATGAGTCTTTGTGCTGCCCTGGCCCTGAGACTGATGGGCCATGTGGTATTTGCAGGAGAGATGCTGGGGACAGTGCACAGATTGCTGCTGGAGACACGCCAGAATGAGCTGAAGCCTGGCTCAGTGTTGTTGCTAAAGCAGGTATGGGAACTCCAAGTAGGGACCTGCTCCCCACCCCACCCACCCTGTCTGTCTCCTTACCTGTGTGGCTGCCTTCCCTCCCAGCACCCAGGCAAGGAGTGACTGAGCTGTTGCTAGTCCCTTGCTTGCTGGAGCTGAGTAAAAGCCCATGGCCCTTGAACTGGCTCCCAGTCTTCTTCAGGGGTAGATGGGGATGGAGGGTTGCATTGAGGGGGAGGGTGTGATAAGTGGTTCTACTCTGGCACCAAGGCTGGGGCAGGAGCAATTTGTGTGTCCCTGGTGCAGAGGACACCAAGTAAGAGGCAGGCAGGTACCAGGTGGCCATCTGGTGGCACCCAGTGCTCCATGAGTACACTGACCACCCACTTTTCTCGACTCCAGGTTGGAGTGTTTTCTCCTTCGCTCCGAAATCATTACCTCAACGTGACACCCAACAACCTGGTCCATATTTACAGCTCAGATTCTGGGGATGGGAAGTGCTTCAAGCCATCTCAGCCTTCCCCAAAGGTAAGAGGCGCAGGTGGAATGGGGACTGGTAGAGCCCTCCTTTAGCATGGATCTTCCGATTTCTTCCTCTCCTCCACTGGGGAGCAGAGGTATGAAGGGAGCAGCTGCCCTGAGGTAAAAAGGAGCTTTTGGGGACAGTATCATCTCCTCCTGTCCCTGGGCCAGCTGCCTGCCAGACAGCTCAGTAACAGTATCTAGAGGAACAGCTGGTTTCTTGGTGACCCCTGAGTTTCTGAGGGCAGGCTTGAACATCTGAGAGGATAGGCGTTACTTGAGAACTAGCCAAGTTGAGGGCCCACTGGGAGTGGTGGCAGTAAATGACCGAGGATGAGATCTGCTACAGGTGGCTGTGCAGAGAACAGTGAGCTATAAATGGCTTGTCAGGTGAGCCAGCACTTGCTCCGCATCTTCCTCCTGGCCTCTGCCTTGGCTGGGCAAGGGGGAACCCGCACAGAGTACTGGTGAGGACATCCCCTTCAGGAACTGAGGCGAGCATTTTAGTATCTCTGGGAGGTGAGGATGAGATTCCAGGCAGCTCCACTCCAGGGTGAGAGTACAGAGCCTGGGTTTGACTTGGCCACCTCCAGCCCTTCATGGGATCCTGGCCTGAGAGTCAGGAGACCTGGGTCTTGTCCCAGCTCTGCTGATCGTTTGTCCTGTGACTTTGGGCAAGTCCTGTCCCCTCCCCTGCTGTTGCTTCATCAATAGGACAAGGCCAGACGTGATAGCCTCTAGTCAAGTTAGACCTTTTTTTTTTTAAAGATGACCGGTAAGGGGATCTTAACCCTTGGCTTGGTGTTGTCAGCACCACGCTCTCCCAAGTGAGCTGACCGGCCATCCCTATATAGGGTCCAAACCCGTGGCCTTGGTGTTATCAGCACCACACTCTCCCGAGTGAGCCATGGGCCGGCCCCAAGTTAGACCTTTAACTCTAACTTCCTACTTCTGTTTCCCTCATATTTCTCCTTAACTGCTTCCACATTCTCTCAAAATCACCCCACTTCTACAAAATGATCTTTATTTTTCTTTTAATTTCAAATCATCCATCCTCATTGAAATAAATTGAAATGGCATAGGATAGGGAAAAGATGAAGCTCACCCTTCTGCACTCCCATTCTCTTGGGCTAACCATAGTCAACTTTTTAATTACCAATTTTAATTACCTGCCCATATGTTAGCTAGTTTGGGCCTTGTTAACAGCTAATTTTTAATCCCAGGCTAATTCCTCAACATATTTCTGAATGGCCCCTTTACTTTCCGCTCCAGTTATACAGATTCCCTAAAGCGTTAAATACCAATAGAATTGGGAAAGAAAATGAGCCAAAAAAGGTTAGCTTTTTTGTTTAGTTTTTTTTTTTTTTCCTTTTTGTCTTTTTTACTGACCAGTAACGGGATCGCA